CAAAATCCAGGGCAAAAAGGCCACCAAAGAGAAGCCATTTCATGACACTAGCCAATAGCTCTTCGTTTCTCCACTGATTGCAAATACTAACTTTATTATATACTGTTTCCACACATATATATTCGATAATTTCCCATTGTCTTTTCCATTTCTTTATCAGTACCAAGTTGTTTTGATTACAGATTTACAATATATTTTTATATCTAGTAAACAATACTCGGTCCTTTTTATTTTTCCAAATTGAATTTGGCTATTCTTGCATGTTTATTTTTCCAAATGAATTCTAAAACAGTTTGTCAAGTTCCATGATAAAACCTTTGGAATTTTGATTGAGATTGCACTAAATTACAGATTAGGTACTGTTATGGATTACAGTGTGTCCTTCAAAAATGTGTTGTAAATATTAACCCCTGTCTCTGTAGTTATAATCCTATTTGGGAATGGGTTTTCTTTGTTATGTTAATAAGGCAATATAGGGTGTGTCTTAAGTCACTCTCTTTTGAGATGTAAACAAGCAGATGAAGGAAGCAAGCAAAATGGGGTGAAAGACAGATGGCACACCACATGAGATCTTCAAGGCACCCAGAAAGAGCAGCTAAAAAGAGACAAGGACCTTCCTCCAGAGTCAACAGAGAAAGCAAGCCTTCCTCTAGACCGTGTCCTGAATTTGGATTTATAGCCTCCAAACTGTAAGAAAATAAATTACTTTTTGTTAAAGCCGCCTACTGGTATTATTTCTGTTACAGTAGCACAAGATAACTAAGACAGGCAGAAATCAACATCTCTGCAACAATGAAAATATTTCATCTATGAAAATGTGCACATTTCACTTTAAGTTCATTATCAAACATTACTGAAATCTCTTAGTAGTTCTAGTAACTTTTCAGTTGATTCTCTTGAAATATTATTGTGTGTAAATTAACATTTTAATATTTCTTCAAGTATTTCAGTATTTGTTTCTCTTATTACTTTTATTATTGTTTTGGTTAAAATAAGACCTATGGAGTACAAGTGACAGTGATCATCCTTGTCTTGTTCATATCTAATAGGCTTGTTTAAACACTTCATATTAAGTAGGTTTTTGGTGACGGACCTTCATGAAGTTAAAAGTATTTCATTATATTGCTAGTTTTTATTCATGCATGAAGTTGAATATCATTAAATGCTTTTTTTGGCATTTTTCATTCCTTTAATCTATATATTTTGTGAATTTATTGGCAGGTTTTCTAATTTTCAACTAATCTTCTATTCCTGGTAAAAAGCCTTTTATTTTTACATCTGTGTTTATAAGTGAAAATAGCTTATACGAAACTTTTTAAAAACACACAGACACACACCAAATAAGGGATTATTTATACATATTTTTGTATTATTTGTTAAAAGAAAATGTACAGATAAAGATATACTTAATTTTGCATTTAAAAAAATACTTATATGCAAAAACTGAAAGCTTGCAAAAGGAACAAAAGAAGTATTTTAAAGTTTTTCTTTTATTTACTGAATTCTCTATTTGGGTTAGTGTTGTCATCATGAATCTAGTCAACTGAGCAAAAAGTCATTGAAGTCTCCACTCCTCCACACCCATTCCACATTCGCTATATCCCAAACAGTCCACAGATATTAATTATATCCCAAATATTCTACCCATCAATCTACATCATGCCTCTATTGCAAAGTCAGGGACGGAATGGACCAGGTCAGAATTTTAACACAAGACTTGGCTCTAATCCCTGTTCCACGCTACTGCATTGCCTTGGGTAAACTTATCTCTCTGAGCTCAAATTTTGTTACCTATAAAATGTGGTACTATTAAGTCTAAAGAGGTGTGGTAAAAATTAAATAATATTATATATATATATATATATATATATATATATATATATAAAACCTAATGAAATCCTAATGTCTGGCCATATGTTACAACTATCTCAAAAATCTCTCTTCTCTCTTTTCCTCTGCCATGTCCTTAGATTAGGCCGTCCATTCCTACCTGGTGTACAACTATCTCCTAGTCTCTCTGCCATCTGGACAGTACTGCCAAAGCTCACTTACTAAAACATAAATCTGACTACACAATGCACCTGTATATATGCCTCCACTGGCTCCCAACTGCCTTCCAGATAAAGTTCTAATTCTTTAGCAGGATTTTTAAGGTCCTTTATAACCTAGCTGAACCTGTATTTCTGACCACATCTTCCTCTAACTTATTCCATGTACTTTATACTCCAGTACACAGATTTTGTACTCTCTAGTGAAAACTCTAAACTTTTCACAATGCTGTTGTTTTGCATATGCTATTTCCTCTTTCTGAAAGCCTTTTCCTAAAAGGAGCTCTGGTGGCATAGTGGATAAGGCACTTGACTGCTAACTGGAAGGACAGTGGTTCAAACACACCAGCCACTCTGTGGAAGGAAGATGGGATGATCTACTTCCATAAACCAAACGGTAGTCACTATGAGACAGAAACGACTCGATGGCAGTGAGTTTGGTTTGGTTTTGGCTCCCCTTTTCTCTTCAAAGCAAAAATTACTATTCAACCTTTAAGACAGAGCTCAATTGATCCATGAAACACCTCATAATGTGGATGAACTTGCAGGACATTATGCTAAGTAAAATAAATCAATCATAGGACAAATACAGTATTAGTCTACTATTGTAAAAACTCAAGGAAAAGTTTATATACGGAGGGAAACTTTGTTGGTTACCAGGGATGGGAAGGGAGGGGAGTGGGGGAAAAAAGACATAGTTCAATTAGCACTTACAAAAAAAAAACCCTACTCTGACTCCCATCACAGAATTAATGGGTTCCCATGTAATTTTCACTGCTATGAAATTAAAATTCCTTACATATCTGCGGTGTAGTAAATTACCTGGTATGGCTTTTCTAGCCATAAGTCTTTGTAAACTCTGTGGTGGAATTTGCTGTGAGCAACTGAGGAGCTCCTGATTATTAAAGTCATCCACCTGGGCTATTTCTGTTGAGAGTGGCACAAAGCAATGTTCTGGGAAGTTCGCTGTCTCTCAGGCGCTTAGAATTCTGAGGTTATGATTGGCTAGTTTGGCCACTCTGCCAGGCTGAAAAGGAGGCCTTATAGAGGCAGAAATCTCTCTGACTGGTGGCTAAGAAGGATGAGAAACATGCTCCTGAGAGAAACACACTCCTGAGAGACACACGCTGCTGGGAAAGAGACGCAAAAGACATGCATCGCTGAGAGAGACACCGAGAGACACGCACTACTGGGACAGAGACTGTGAAAGATTGTTGCCTGAGAGACAGCGGGCTGAGAGAGACTGAGCGTTGTTCCTGAACTTGAATTGTAGCCTGGTGCTTCCTTATTAAACCCCATAATCTCTGAGTTCTGTGTGGCCACTGCAGCGAATTATCGAATGCAGCAGAAAGGTGGCGGGTGCTGTGGAGGAACGGCTGGTGTCAGAGTTGATGAAAGGGCTGCAGTGGGGCAGCATGTCTGGCCTTGCAGAAATAGGTCTTGGGCTATTGATGGTGATTCTGTCTTCCTCTTGTGCAGTCAGAGGAGTTCAGAAGATGTGGCCTCCCTGCTCCTTTGGCAATATCTTTCTTCACTCATTAAGGCAAAAACTGTCTTATTTTATTCTTTATATACTTTTATTTTTTATTAGGATATTGGTGCATTCAGCACTATGTTTAATGAATAAAATAAAAAGAATTTGTTTTAAAGAGGGTCCTATTAAGTCTTTCAACAAAACAAAGCTTTTTCTCGTCATTTAATCCAACTTTCAAGGTTGTCTTTTTTAAATATGAGATTTTCTTAAGTGAGATACTACCACAATGAAACCACTCTGCCCTACTGACGATTATAAGCGTTCATGGAGTAATTCTAGAGCCAATTAACCTCTCTATGAGTTCTGATTAGGTCCATGCCACCTGAGAGGCCCCTTTGAAACTATTGCTATCTTCCAGTGCAAGTAGTCAGCCTTTATCAAGAGCCAAAGGTATTGTTTTGAAAGAATACATCTTCCAACATGGGGACTTGCTCTCAATGAACAATTTTCTCCTGCTACCTTCTCTCTCCAAATAAATGGTTTGGTTCAATTATAGTTTGCTCCTCAAGTCAGAAAACACAGCTCAGAAAAAAACACTTCAGAAAAGTTATTTGTATAGGCTGAGATACTAAAAGAAGAAAGAAAAAAACCTTTTACATCATAAAACCTCACTACCATGCATATGATTCAGTTTTATATATGGTAGTCTGTATCACACATTCCTCACCTAGAAGATGATGCTGATGGTCATAAGAGATTCACAATCTCTGGTATCTGAAGACAGTTAAGGGTCACTCTAATTAGAAACTATGGAGGAACATATGAAAGAAACAGAATGATTTTCATCTTATAATCTTTTAAAGATTCCAACATGCAAGTCACCAAAACCCTAATTTTAGAAAACAAATTATGACTATAAGTACCAATATTCATTATGATTTTTAAAAAAATTTCATTGTGATTTGGATGAAAGTTTACAAAGCAAAATTGTTTTCCATTCAATAGTTCATATACATTTTACTTCCATTGATTGCAATCACCACAACGTAACAGTTCTCTTTCCACTTCCTCCCTGTGGTAACCTTTTCCCTGTGTTCTTCTATATGCATTCCTGCCTTCTGAGCTTTCTCCCTGCACAAATGCTGCCCTTCTGATCTCCTGTGGTAGACTGTTCTGAGGAATGCACCTCCCCATTATAATTGTTCACCTTGTAGGCCTGTCTGTTGTTTGGCTGAAAGTTAAGCCACTGGAGTGAGTTCAAAACTAGGCCCTCATTATGATTTTTGAATGATTTCACTTTTTTTTTTCTTATTAGTGAATATATTTTACAACAAGAAAGAAAGCAAAGCAATACCTGTAGAGAGAAAAATCATCACAGATTTTCAACTCAAAAAGCAGAGCCTGGAATTAATAGTTTAAGATTTATTTCTCCATTTAGAAAACTCATAGTGGAATAAACAGCTTACTACAGGTATACAAAAAAGGAAGCTGGGCGAAGTCTTCACCAGGATGAAATAGGATTAGCTTTGTAGTTCTTGTAATCTTCTTCACAGAAGAATGCAATTTCAGTTTCATTGGCTGGGAAAAAAAATAGAAAATAGAAAAAATTTAATATAAAACTAAATTTTAAATGAGTATGGAATTACTGGGAGCTCTGGTAGCATAGTGCCTAAGGCAGTTGACTGCTAACCGGAAGGCTGGAGGTTCAAACCCACTAGCCAGTCCTCGGAAGGAAGATGGGGCAATCTACTTCCATAGTGATACTGCCTTGGAAACCCAAGGAGGGGTCACTGTGAGTTGGGTCTGACTGGATGACACATAACAACAACACAACATGGAATTATTACAATGACTTGATATTTTTGAATACCTTTAGATGCCTAAAAGTTATATGTCAGTTGCACAATATGTGACACTAAATCAATTGAAAGTTAAAGTTGCATTTATGAGAATGTAAGATTCAAATCATTAAAAAGTTTTTAAAAACAACCTAAACCACTAAAACAAGGCCTCACACAAGAAGCTGGGTTTTAGGAAATCACAAAATTGCCATCTATTGTCTCCCTTACAGTCCTAGAAAATAAAAAACCTTGATTTTTTTCTTTTTTAAAATTTGGTACTCAGTTACAGAAGAAGGGGTGGAAAATCTCTCTCTCTCTTTTTTTTTTTCCTGAAATTACCCTGTAGATAAAATAATTTAATACTTAGAGGATCAGTAGAATATTTTACAGATCACTTTACATTCTCCCTCATGACCCATCAAAATATGTGTCTGAAGAAGTTAATTTTTTGCCCTGCTTATGATTAATTCATGAGGCTTCAACAATATGCAAAGTGAAAGACACAAATTGGCTTCTACCACAATACCTTCAAATACCTCTAATTATTCACAGGGGATATGGCACAGCTAAAGGACCCACAAAGGTTCAGAGCAGTCACGATTCTTTCAACCTAGCAGGTCAAGGACTTCGTCTTCTAAAACAATAAGTCAGCAACATTATTAATTCAGACTGGAGACAAATCTGATAGAAAGCCTTCCAATTATTAAACATGCAATTCTTTAAGGTGTTGCGCCAACAAGTTCCACACTCGTTTTTTAAATTAAACCAGAAGTTAATACAGTCTGCTTGGCTTTTACAGAGAGAGCAAAAGGGCCTTCAGAATCTCGACAAGAAAACAGACAAGATTATTTGTAATGAATACTGAGCACTCAATTAACATACTCTCTGCTCTAAAAACAGACAAGTAAAACTCCTCACGCTAAATAAATAGGATAATGATAAAGGGTGCTAAGGATTACCACAGATCTCTTTGTTTACAACTCTCATTTTATCATAGAATTTATTGCAAAACAAAGAATTAAAAGAGCTCAGAATGACCTTTCATTAAAAATCTTTTTGCTACTTTTTACTAATATCAAATGGAATGCTTTTCAATCATAAATTACTCATGTTCATTATAGAACACACTGAAATGCAGAAAGAACAAAATAAAATCAGGCATAGTTTCACATTTTCATTCCAGTCTTACAACATCTGAAAGATTAAATAAGAATAGATGAAAATCAGATTGCAAATTCTTGTCACAATGGGCCTGTGAAGGGGATAAAGCAGAGAGAAACTGGAATCAGTGAGGAGATGCTATTAATGGATGCACCCTGGGCAAAGCATTAAATTAATGTACAGTTAAAATTTACAAGAAAATTGCACTTAAAAAGAAGAGTAAGAGGTTCCACACTTGCAATCAGTAAAATGCTTAAAGGGGGACTTCAAAAAATTCAATATTTAAAGATATTTGAGATCTTTCCTTTATAAAGCTCCTGGGCTTTTTCTTTTTGAAGCAGAGCATGTCCAGAGGTAGACCTATATAATTGGCAAGTGATTCTATTGATCCTTCTAAGAGAGGATGAAGAAAAGCACCTCGGTTCTTAATAATCATAGAGCAAGGTTTTTCTCTGGGAGGTTCTATTTACGCACAGAACTTTACATAGTGCTTTGCCCACACAGCATTTTGCTCAGTGCACACTAACTGTAATTACAATTTTCACTTACTGCAGTTGACATTTATTTGTACCCCTTTTGAGGAACTAATAGGTAGTGTAGTTCTTCAGTATGGTAATAATAGGTTCAGAGCAAGATGATATAAAGAAAGGACTGACAAGGCATTTTGTTTTGACATGAAGGTTCCCTTGGGTCTAATTGGCTTATAGATCAATCCATTATTTATATAAAGTATTTATGCCACCTCTCATAATACTGTGTCAAAATGAGATAATCTAGGGTAAAGATTTTTTTCAGATGACTGCATTACTTTTTTTCAGACAAACTAGGCTGACAAATAAGTTAAATGGAAATACTTCAAGTTGATCATATTTTTTTCACCCCTACACACACACAAATTGAAAATCACTCTGAACATTCAAAAGTAAAATACAAAATTGATTTTAAACTTTAGTAATGTGCCTCTCAAACAGAAATTGAATATGATGTTTAAAAAAAATCTATAAAACTCTTTTGAAAATATTTAAGATGATTTCAAATACTTATACTTAAATTTATCTGCCAAGTTAAGTGCAAACGAATTACAAGAGATTTTCTGGACTTCTATATAATAACTCTTGCCACCATTATTCCATAAATTCTTGCACCCCAAATTCTTTTTAAAATGGCTCCTTTAAAAATGGCTCCGGAAGAACCTCAGAAAGTCTACTGTGTGCCAGTTCCCTAGGGCGTCTGATTTTAAACTAAATGTGCTGCAGGCGGCAGTGCTGTCAGGTGCAGAGTGCCTTGGCATGTGAATCTGAAAGGAATGTGCAATCTAAAATCCAATAAATACACTGCCAGTTCATCCTGGTCTTCTATCAAATGAAATCAAGAACCCTCCCAATAAATATATTTGTAGATCATTCTAGTACTCACTTTCATGTTTAATGACATGAACATAAGCTAACACATTCAAATTTTAGAAATAGAATTAGTAATTTTATAAGGCTTCCAAACAGGTCTCATACACACATATATATGCCTTTAACAGAAAAATAATGACTTTAAAAGAATAAAAGAAAAGCCAATTTTAAGTGTAAAAGCGTACTAAAAATTCAAGGCAATGCATTTAAACACCTCAACTAACTTACCTAAATGAACTCACTGATTGATAAGTATTTACTGTGTACTGTGAAATCCCTGGCCTCATGTTGCCTGAACAGCAACTGTTTTGTACAGCAGAGACTGAGACATGTGAGACTTGTGGTACAGATAGTTAATGATACCATTTATATGTGTAAATATATGTCTATTATACATATGTATATATGCCTATTATACATATGTATATGTGTGATAGGTATATATACATATAATGTGCATATGTATATAACATATATATATATACACCTATACAAACACACACACAAACACACACGCATAGAGAGAGAGAGGGAGAATTGTGGTTTCTCTGGCAATTTAAGACCAAAAAGACAAAGTGTCAACCTTTCTCCTGTTACAGAAATATATCCTATCATTCTAAATTTCACAAAATCCTAATCTACAAATCATCCAAAAACTGTTCACAGTGAGTTTATATTTCTAAGTTTCCTCCAAAGAAGGTCAGCAATCCAGTGAAAACATCCAAATTCCTGTGCTTTTGATTTCATACTTGCTTCAGATATCTGCTTTAGATCACCTGACAGAGAAGATTTCAAACTATAGTTTGAAGAAAACTAATAGTAAAATATGACCTTCAATAGACTTAACACAGCCTTTAATTTCCACAATAGCGAGCGGAAGCTAAGAGAAGGGAAATAATCTATGGGGGTTCATTCTGCCTCTTGTTCTAGAATCTTCAAATTCCCTTGGCCCATACATACTTTACTGAGTTTCAGACTATACCACTATTCTGATGTTAACGTGATGAACAGCCACCTTAACATGCCATGAGAGGAAGAAAAACATGTACATTCTGAGATATTACTAACCAATAAGGAACGGGAAAGGGACTCAGTCCTTAAGGAAACACAAATCAAACACAATCCTGAGAAAGAAGTGTGAGCCAGTGAATCCTACAATATTAACTCGATGTATGAAATAACCAAAAGGTACCAGGAACACAGAAGGGGTCTGGTTATGGGCAGATGATGGAAGTGACACTCAAAATGAAAACAAACCACAAGGGTGTTTGGGAATTACTGGCATGTGGCTTAACATGAACTATTTCCTCAGATAATCACTTAAAGTTTGTTTCACTGTTTCTTGTTTTAAAATCTTTCTAATAAAATGCAAGTTGCTTTATAAGGGTTACCCTGCCATAACTTATTTCCTAAACTAGAGAAGATTCAAAAGATAATACTTAGAAAAATGAATCAAAATACAACAGATAAAATTTCACTTTAAAAAACAACAAAACTTATTTACAAGCAAATTTATTTAGGGTAATTAGTCCATAAAACTACAATTGTTAATAACCAAAATCTCAAAGTATAAATCTTTAAATTTTACATAACAATTCTAGATAAAGCCCTCTTCTTCCTTCCACAAAGCAAATCTTTTTACTTATTTATTTTAGTACAAAATCCACAAGCAAAAAACTTCCACTGGTGTCAGGTATAGAATATGCAATTGGGATCTGCAGTGCAGATAAAAGGCCATCCTATGAACTGGAGAATTTCCCCATGAAAAAAGAAAGCTTCAAACAAGTTTTTCCCTTAATTTTCCTCCTCACAGCCTTTCTTTCTTTTCATGACACCTGCAGAAAAGTCATAATGATAAATTCATTACAATGGCATTATTCCCATGGCAACTGGCAATGATATCAGAGTGACAGCTCTAGCAAGATCAAGTGATGAAAAGAGGCACAGTAATGACCTAGTATTTTTCTCTTAAACCTCTTAAAAACCTAACCAGACACTGCATCTAGGGAGGAGAAATTCCCTAGAAAAACCAAGCATCTCTCGTACAACTCTACTTCTATTTAGAATTTTTCTATTGCACCCCAGGGACCATCATTTTCCCACATCTAACTGTAGATTTTTCTCTAGAGCATAGCAATACTACTCTAGGAAATGAAGAGGCAGCATTCAGGATGGAAACCACTCCAGACAAAGACTGAGGCTGCCCTGGAGCAGGGCTGCTGAACTCACCGGACAGGAAGGCAGCTGGGAGTTCTACTGCTCTGAAAGTAGTGAAGAACTAAAGAAAAGCTGATTCTGAGCAAAGACATAAGGTCTTAAATCAAAAATAATTAAAAAAGGGTTTGATTCTTATCTTTATGGTTGGCTGATTACATAAGTCACTTTGAAATGAATGACAATTAAACCAACGCAATGTTTTAAAAATTCAAAACATTTGTCAATTCAAGCATGGTTTCTAACCAATAAAATAGTGACTCTTTAAGGACCTTTTTTCATATATACTTCCAGATGCTTTCATATACATTATTTCACTCAACCTTTATGACAACCTTCTGAAAACAGTTCAATAATTCACATTTCTACAGAAAACAAAATAGAAGTTCAAAGAGGCTATGCAGCTTACAGAAGTTCACAAAGCAAGTAAAAGGCAGAGGTTCATTCATTCAACCTAATTTCCCAAGCTTTAAGGGTGCATTCCTTTTTTTAAAAAAAATTAGCTCCTTAAAGTATACGTGATACATGTAAAACTGTACAAACTTAAAAAAAAATACAATAAGAAAATACAGATAAGAAGGGAAAAATCAATTACTGGTGATGCCACCATCCAGAGAAACCAGTTCTATAATTTTAGTTTGTGATCTTTCCTCTACATACACATACAAATATGTAACTATATATATTTTTAAACAATAACGATACCACACAATATATTCTATGTCATACCACACAATATATTCTATGTCAATTCAGTGATTTACAAATAGAGGTGAGAGATAAACTCACCACACCTTTGAAGGCATATTACAAAATCTCGGGGTGTTTATAACTCTCATTGGCTAGTAAAGAAACAACAGAACGTTAAGGTACAGAAAGTTTTACTGGTCATTTAACCAAAATATAATTAGAGGTAATATAGATTCCCAACAGTAGTACAGGAAAGTATCCATTTCCCCATACCTTGACTTTTACTGGATCACAGATGGTTAAGTGGCAGAATCAGTTTTGAGACCAAACATTCTGGTTCTAGACTAACCCGTAGCCACCACTAAACATACTACATAAAATGATGTTCCTCTGATCTTGTATGGTTGACTGTTCTAAGGACTGTGTACCTCCTTAGCGTTACACTTCACCTTATAGGCCTATCTATTGTTTAGCTGAAAGTTAAGCCACAGGGCAGAGTACAGTTCCAGGCTTGAAGAGTGTCTAAGGGCCACAGTCTTGGGGGTCCCATTAGGCTCCATCCGACCAATAAGCTTGGTCTTTTTTCTGATTTTGAGTTTCATTCTCCAATTTTCTTCCACTCTATCCAGGATCTTTCAGAGTGGTTAGCAGTGGTAGCTGGTCAATCTAGTTCTTCTGGTCTCAGGGTCACGGTGGCTGGTGTTTTCATGGTCCATTAGTCCTTTGGACTAACTATTTCCATGAATCTTTGATTTTCTTTAGTCTTCTTTGTTACAGATGAGGAGAGACCAATAGGAGGAGCACCTTAGATGGCTGTTCACAATAACTTAAGACCCGTTACCATTCACCGAAGTAGGATGTAGAACATTTTCTGTGTGCACTATGTTGCGGCACTTGACCTTGCGTCCCCGAAGACTATGGTCCTGAGCACCTAGGCCCAGTGACTCATTCCCTCAAAGTGTTTGGTTATGCGTAAGAAGTTTTTATAACTTAGCTCCCTGGATGCTGTAATATATTTATGGATATATTTGCAGCATATGTAAATGTTGTTGTTGTTATGTGCCCTCGAGTCAGACCCGACTCATAGCGACCCCTCCTTGAGTTTCCGAGGCAGTATCACTACAGAAGTAGATTGCCCCATCTTCCTTCCAAGGAGTGGCTGGTGGGTTTGAACCGTCAGCCTTCTGGTTAGCAGTCAAGTACCTTAGGCACTATGCTACCAGAGCTCCCATATGCAAATACATAAATAGAAATATTCTCTGGCAAACCTATATAGATTCCCATTTGCTTTCCCAATTCCGTTCAGCTTGTGTGTCTATGTATCCACTCATTAAAAAACAACAACAAAAAAAAAAAACAAAAAAAAACTCATTGCTGTCAAGTCGATTCAACTCATAGCAACCTCTCCTTGGGTTTCTGACGTGGTATCTCTACAGAAATAAATTGCCCAATCTTCCTTCTGAGGAGTGGCTGGTGGGTTTGAACCACTGGCCTTCTGGTGAGCAGTCAAATGCCTTAGGTACTACGCTACCAGAGCTCCAGTAGATTATTGTTATTACTATTATTGCAGGATTGGGTATGTAATAGGATCTATGTTAATGTCCATGTCTCTCACACTAATGAGGTTGGACTGTTTTTTACATGTTAACTATTTCTTCTCTCAGTAGAATTTCCTGTATTTATCTTTGTCATATTAATCTAAAAAGCTTTTTATAAAGTAAGGTTAATAACTTTTTACTTGTCATGTATGCTGCAAATATTTTTTCATAGTTAGTTGCTTCCCTTTAAACTGTATTTTTTAATTTTCATGTGTTCAAATCTATCATTTCTCTCCCTTTACTGTTTCTGGCTCTGAGGTCATGCTCAGAAAATTCTTTTCATCTCCAGATTATAAAATTATTGAGCTGCATTTTCTTTCCCTTTATTTTTTACATTATACATTTAATTCATTTAGAATTTATTCTAAAATAGAGACTGAGGTAAGAATTTAACTTTTTTCCCCAAATGGTGTGGCAATGGAGTGGATATTGTTTCTTGACAATTCATTCTTTCTCTACTTATTTGAGAAGTCAATTTTATCATATTCTGAAATTTTACTTTTGGATTTCCTAGTCTCTTGCATGTTGCTCAATTTCTACAACAATACCAGTCTGTTATTTTTATTATAGCTTTATTACACACTTTGACAAGTAGGAGTATGTTCTAGGTGCCATGTGCCTCAAAAACACAGGTGCCACCTGCTACAATTATGTAAGATCATTTGAAGAAATTAACACCAAATTAAAAATTAGTTTTCAAATAATAAAAATCAATCCTACGGGTTCATAATATGGGGCGAATCTAATTCTAACATATAGTGTGTATTTAAATCCAGAAAGCAAGTCTAACATTTCAAAACACATTATTTATTTTTATAACATGTTATTTAAATACATATTAAATCATTAAGATGTGTCAGGAATTCCATTGGTCACATGTGTCATTTAAAAGTGAACTCCTGATATATGTTACGATAGTAATTCAGTCTAACAACTAAGATTTGACATTTCCTAAAGTGACCTCCACTTAGTGCACTCCTTAGCAACATATATAAATAACGGTGAAGTAGGTATGATTTCTAAGGTTTCACCATATTCACGGACCAAAAGGTGTGTCAGGCATAAAGCCTCAAGTACTCATACCATTCCCAAAAGTCTTAATTTCTTCTACTGACAAAAAGAAACCCAAAAACACCTTTAAGTGTACACATAAGTAGAATTAGAGTGACACCTAATGGTCACAAAGCATATCATACAGCATTTCTTTCAAAGAGAACTTAATGCATATTCCAGGTTGAAAGGCTAAATTGAGTCTTTTTTCAGCCACATGCAGTAGGCTGTTATTTTAAATTCCATGATTTGGTCAGCCCTGGGTGACTATCAGAAACCACCACTATCAGTGTCATACAAACAAAATCTCCTTTCATTTTTCCATGTCAGTTCTACCACGTCCATTTTTCTCAAACCATCAGTTCAAATGATGATAGGAGCAAGTAAAAAGGTAGCAATAATATATGGATCAGCTGAAATAACCCTCAGCAGAGTTCTGAGCATACCTTCTGAAAGAACTATTTGCGTTCTGAACTTCTGAAGAACAGATGTCTACTGCCTTTAGTCATATGATCTGAGCGATTCTGAGGATGGTACAAGACTGGGAAATGTTTTGTTTGGTTGTACATAGGGTCAACTTGACAGCATCTGACATTCTCCTCTGCCTCCTCTAAGTAATTATCAGATATTATTAAGAGCACCAGGGTAGCATTTACGGTACTTCGTGGTGAGCTATCCAATGGTAGCCAGGCAAATGAGCGCCCCTCCAGCAATATGAAGGCATGCTTTCTCACCAATTCCCATGGCTTTCATAGTGCCGTCTTCTTTTAACAGGAGTCTGTCATCATCTTCCAAACCCACCACAAGATCACTTGTCTAAAATGAAATAAAAAGTGCATTTTATAAGTACTTAACATGTGTTTCGCATTTGGTGAGATTTCCCAAAGACAATAACAATTGTAACTTTGGGTTATACCAATAATCCAATTCATATTCCACAGACATTACTGTAATGGGGGAAGTGAACAGATACATACCAAGTTCCTACTCAGTTTACACACTCTGAAAGCATCGGGAACCCAGTGCTATTGCACAGGCTATAGAATTAGGTCTGGGTTCAAACTCAGGCTCCACCAACAACTGGCTGTGTATTCCCAACAAACCGCATAGTTTCTCTAAGACTCAGTTGCCTGGTAATGTGATGGTGAAGAACTCAGCTGCTGACAGAAAGGTCGAAAGTCCAAACCCACAAGTTACTCTGAGGGAGAAAAGATCTGTTCCCATAAAGATCACAGCCTAGGAAACCCTATGAAGCAGTTCTACTTTGTCATGTATGGTCACCATAAGTCAGAATCAACTTGAAAGCACACAACAAAAAAAGGAGAAAATAATGTATCTTCCTCATTGCCTTGCAGTAAGGATGAAAGGAGATGATACACACAAAACTCTTGGCACACTATCTCCCACATAACAAGTACTCCCTATGTTAGCTTTTCAGAATCACTGGGTAGTTTAGAATCACTGGTAGCAAATAGTTTATGCCCGTGGCTGCTAACCAAAAGCTAAGAGGTGCAAGTCTACTTAAAGGTGCCTTGGAAGAAAAGACTGACAATTTACTTCTGAAAGATCAGCCTTGAAAACCTTATGGGGCACAGTTCTACTCTGACACACATGGGGTCACCATGAATCAACATTGGCTTGATGGCATTTAGTCTTATGTTAGCTATTGTTTTTGTTGTTGTCATCTCATACCAACCTCACAATAACATAGGAGGAATCAGAAAGGTTACGGTACAGGCCCAAGATTACATAACTAGCCAGCAATGGAGCTGTGCTTTTGAGCTCTGGCCCATCTGACTTCTAAGATAAGCAGGTTTACCTCAAATGACCAAGAGTCTACTTATCTAAATAAATAGACATTTGGTCCCATGTCATATTAGCTGTAATATTTCTCTGTGTGATTTGGGGTGGGGGTAGGTGAATTTGCTCTTTAATGCTATTTACAAATCTAGCTAAACATCATAAATATAGGAGAAATAATTATGATTTGATGTCTGCCCCTAAACAACACAGCAGTGACCATTAACTAGACACACAGCACTACTTGTCAACCAGCAATGTATTTTATTTCTAGAATATGACTGAAAGAGCATCAACACAAAGGCCTCTCAGCAGCCAAAATAGAGCCCCAGAAGCCATGTTCCCCCACCATTCATGCACTTCATTCACTAGAAAGCACAGGAGTTTGAGCTACAGAGCATGCAGATTTTAAAAAAGAAACATTTTGGGATAGGAAATAAGCAGGGATGGAGAGACTTTGGCTTGTTTATTTTGGACACATCACATAGAAAGACAAATTGCTAGAAAAACATACCATGGTTGGTAAAGTAGAGGGTCAGTAAGTATGATGAGAACTCTCAGTGAGATGGACTGACACAACAGCCACATAATGGACTCTAACATGCCAACAATCATGAGGACAGTGCAGGACTGCAACATTTTGTTCTGTTGTATATAAGGTTGCCATGAGTCAGAGCTTACTAGGTGGCAACTAACAACAACAATACAACTCAAGATACAAAATTCTAAAAGTACATTTTTTTAAAATGATTTTTACTTTTTAAAACATTTCTGTGGAGAATGTCAAACACACACTGTATAGGCAGTCCACAGATTATGAACAAGTTCTGTTCCTAAGTCTGTCTTTAAGTCGAATTTGTAGATAAGTTTGAACAGTTAGGTATGGTTCATATGTAACGGCACTAGCTCAAATGTTTGTCTTAGTACATAGGATATATTCTGTACCTTTCTATGCATGAAAAACATTACAGAAACACTTCCAGATACACTAAAAACATATTTAACATAATAATGCAGTAATAATGTTTTGATACATGTCACAAAGTAGCACCCGTTTCTTATTATGAACCATTGTATATACATTGTATATACACTGTATATCCAGACCTGAAGGGCAGCTAGGGGCCATAGTCTCAGTGGTTCTACCAGACTCTATTGGACCAGCAAACCTGGTCCCCACCTTCTTTTTTTTTTTTTCCTCCAAATGATTTTGAGTTTTGTTCCACATTGTTCTTCTTCTCTATCCAGGATCTCCTACATCCCTTCCAAGTGGATGACAGTGGTAGCCGGGCACCATCTAGTTCTTCTGGTCTCATAGTTGTATAGGTTGCAGGTCGGATGGTGTACCAGTCACTAGGACTGATTGTTTCCATTAATTTTGGTTTTCTTCTTTCTTCTTTGCTCTTGACAAGGAGAGACCTATCGTTGCATCTAGATGGCAGCTTGCTAGCTTTTAAGATCCCAGTCGCTACTCGCCAAAGTAGGAGGTGGAACAATGTTTTGTATAGTATGTTATGCCAGTTGAGCTTGATGTCCCCCCTGCAGTCTTCTTGTCTCCTGACCTCTGGCACCTGGGACATAGCCTGCAAAAGTCTACAGCATGCTTCCTGACCTGCAGTTTGGGATTCATCAGCCCCTAAAACCATGTGAGCCAGGAGAGATTGTCAGACTGCCTCCTGACCCATGGATTTGGAACTTTCAAGCTCCCACCACTCCATGAGTCATTTCCTCACAATTGCATGAACCATCACTTCAAAGTAAATTTCTCTATATGTTGTTGTTGTTAGGTGCTGTCTAGTCGGCTCGGACTCATACCGACCCTATGTACAAGTGAACAAAACTGCCCAGTCCTGTGCCAGCCTCATAATCCTTGCTATGCATGAGCCTGCAGTTGAAGCCACTGCGTCAATCCATCTTCTTGAGGGCCTTCCCCTCTTTTATGGACCCTCCACTTTATTGGCCCTCCCTTCTCCAGGGAATGGTCCCTTCTGACAATATGTGGTAGTTAAGTTTGTGTGTCAACTTTGTTGGACCTGGTTGCATGGCTGGGCAGCTGGATGTAGTTATTCCCCATGGTGAAATTGGTAATTAACTCCATGGTGGAATCTATTGGAGTAGCTGAGTAGCTGCTTTGGCTACGTTTTCTGCTTCCCGTATATAAAAAACAGCTTTGGGAATGGTTTCTAGCTTATGGCACGCTTTGACCCTGCATGTAGCTGTGTCATTGTTCAGTAGCCTGCTATGCTCTGGCGACCTTGTGACTTTCAATGGACTTGAATGAATGGCCTGCCATGTGGTTTGGTAACATTGGGACTGTGTCATTTTATTTGTCGACCTTGGATTTGTCAGCCGCAGCAGCCAGCAACTGTCTCAGTGAAGAAAAGCCTCTAGCTCCAATGGGCTGGGAGCAGGATGCAGAGCTGAAGCCCAAGGCTGAGCGGCTTTTACTCAGCCCTAGAGCCTGGCACTTTGAACTTGGACTTAAAGCCTCTAAACTGTAAGAGCCTAAATTCCTGTTTTCAAGCCATCCCATGTGTGGTATATTCCTGTCAGAGTGGCACTAGGTAACCAAAACAGAATATGGTACTGAGAGAGTGGGGTGCTGCTCTGGCAGATACCTGAAAAGTGGAGACAGGAATGGAGTGTGTCCTTGTCCCAAGACCCTGGCAGAGAGACCCTGGCATACAGCATGAGAAACAGCAGGAACAGAGCCAAGAGAACGACATGAGAAATAGCAGGAGCAGAGTCAAGAGACCGGCATGAGAGATGGCAGGAGAAGAGCCGAGAAAATCGGCACAAGACAGTGACAGCCCTACCAGCCCATGGAGAAGAAAGCTGGATGCCATTGTGCAGGTGACTTCCTGGCAGAGTGGGTTGCCTTCGGGCATTAACTGGTAGAAGAGACCAGCATGAAATGGAGTAGCAGGTTGGCCAGCCCACAGAGCAAGAAAGCTGAGTGCTTTGGGGTAGGAAGACTTCCAGTGGAGTGAGTTGCCTTTGGCTTTAATCGGCAGAAGTGGAGAGACCAAGAAAATGGGAAGCAGAGCTGCCTCAGCCTCAAGGGTAGGATCACAGCCTTTGGGGGTGGAACCACCACAGCCCCCTAAGTTTCAAAGAGCCAGACCTTCACCAACTTGGATCTGGAGTGTGGGGTTGCTCTTTCATGTGAGCCAGTGGGATGGAGCCATAGCCGCTACCCAAGAGAGAGGGGGCAGGGCTACCATCCCCAAGAGGTACAGGAAAGGGGCCTGCCAGGCCAAGGGGGTGAGGTCATCACTCAAGGAATAGGGGATTACAGCCACCCAGTGAAGGAGATCTGTATGGATGCCACCCAGTGAAGCTCTGTACAGGTACCAAGTTGACAAGGAAGGGGTAGAATTGTGGTAGTTTAGATTGTGTGTCACCTTGGCTGGGCCTGGTTGAGTGGCTAGGCAGCTGGATGTAGTAATTCCCCATGGTGAGATTGGTAATTAACTTCAAGGTGGAATCTATTGGAGCAGCTGAGTAGCTGCTTTGGGTATGTGGCCTGCTTCCCGTATATAAGAAACAGCTTTGGGAATGGTCTCTAGGTTATGGCACACTTGAACTCTGCATGTAGCTGTGTCATTGTTCAGCAGCCTGCCATGCTCTGCTGACCTTGGGACTTTCAATAGACTTGAATTAATGGCCTGCCATGTGGTTTGGTAACACCAGGACTGTGTCATTTTATTTGTTGACCTTGGGCTTGTTAGCCTAAGCAGCCAACAGCTGTCTGAATGAAGAAAAGCCTGTAGCTCTGGTAGTCCGGGAGCAGGAGGCAGAGCTGAAGCCTAAGGCTGTGGGGCTTTTACCCATCCCCTAGAGCTTGGCACTTTGAACTCGGACTTAAAGCCTCTAAACTATAAGAGAATAAACTCCTGTTTGTTCAAGCCATATCATTTGTGGTATATTCCTGTCAGAGCAGCACTAGGTAATCAGAACACAAAATGATCAAAGTAGGTGAGATCTCAAGTTTGGTCATTCTCACTTCCATGGAG